GATCCACACAGGGGAGAAGCAATATAAATGCATGGAATGTGGAAAGAGCTTTACTCGGGCGGATCATCTGAATTCACATAACAGGATCCACACAGGGGAGAAGCAATATAAATGCATGGAATGTGGAAAGAGCTTTACTCGGGCGGATCATCTGAATTCACATAACAGGATCCACACAGGGGAGAAGCAATATAAATGCACTGACTGTGGAAAGAGCTTTACTCGGAAGGATTCTCTGAATTCACATAACAGGATCCACACAGGGGAGAAGCCATATAAATGCCTGGAGTGTGGAAAGAGCTTTACTAGTAGCCGTGATCTCACTTCGCATAAAAGGTTCCACACAGGGGAGGAACCATATAAATGCACTGACTGTGGAAAGAGCTTTACTCGGAAGGATTCTCTGAATTCACATAACAGGATCCACACAGGGGAGAAGCCATATAAATGCATGAAGTGTGGAAAGAACTTTACTACTAGCAGTTATCTTACTTCCCATAACAAGATTACAAGTGAACTTACTTCACATAAAAGGATCCACACAGGGGAGAAGCCATATAAATGCATGAAGTGTGGAAAGAACTTTACTACTAGCAGTTATCTTACTTCCCATAACAAGATCCACACAGGGGAGAAGCGACATAAATGCATGGAGTGTGGAAAGAGCTTTACTACTAGCAGTGATCTTAATTCTCATAACAGGATTCATACAGGGGAGAAACCATATAAATGCATGGAGTGTGGAAAGACTTTTCGTCGAAATAATAATCTTAGTTCCCATCATAAAAGAATCCACACAAGGGAGAAACCATATTAATGCGTGGAGTGTGGAAAGAACTTTACTACTAGCAATTATCTTACCTCCCATAACAGGATCCACACAGGGGAGAAACCATATAAATGTGTGGAGCGTGGAAATTGTTTTTCTACTAGCAGGGATCCTGGTATTGGACGCTTCTGAGGTTCTGGGGCTGAACGTCTGAATGGGTGGTTTCTTCCTCCAGGATCTTCTGCCCAGTTCTTCCCCAGATCTCCCAACAACTCCCAGGCTGAACAGCAGAAAGGCCTTCTCCAATTACTTCACTTGCTAAGGGTTGTGTCTCCATTCTTTTTCTGTGCTGTAACGCAACTCCAAAGGGGTCTGAGGAATCTTGTGGCTCTCCAAATGCCTTTTCATTCATTGGGCTGTTCCTATAGCTGAGGAATGACCGCAAATGTCTCCAGGAGGGAGAAGGAAAATGGCTCAGGCGGGTGAATACAGGGCAGTCCACCCCAGGGGGTCCTTGGGGCTCTCTGAGCTTGGTTGTTTTCTTGGAAACGTTTCTTGCTAGCACTGAAGATGTAACCCAGCCAGGTAACGCAATGTTTGCAAGAAGACCACCAAGCTCAGAGAGCCCCAAGGACTCCACAGCTCGAACCTGAGCCACACATATTCTCTTCTATTGGTCAGTCCACCCCTGCGAGCTCTCTCTTACGATCAGCGCGCCCAGCCCTCCGCAGGATGCCCCAGTTTCACTTAAGGGGCTTTACCTGCCTGTTGTATCTACGGTAGACACATGGCCTATCAACAATAAAAGCCTATTTAGAGTTGTGGTTGATTATTAGAGAGTGCTGAGTTCGCATTCACCCTCTCACAAAGTCAAAATAGTCAACAATTTTAGAGTCATTCAGTAGCTTTGTGTCGACAGGGAATGTCCCTTGCCAGTCATGAGGCACAGACGTGGAGACCCAATATTTATACTGCTGTTCAGCGATTGCAGTCTGGCACTTGAAATGTCAGTGAATGCAGCGGGCAGGGTAAGAGGTAGGCGTTTTCAGCCAGCACAGGAACCTTTGCTTTAAGCAGAGTCATGCCCCAAGTCAGGAGCTTGGAAGACTCCTCCTGAGGTGACCGCAATCCTCCTCGTGAGTTCCTACTGAAGTCCACTGAAGAAAAGGACAATCCTTCGCCACTCTTGTAGGCAATATTATATTCAAAGATGCGAAGCATTTTTTACTGGCAGGGCAGAATACTAACCCTAACCCTAACAATTACAACTGCTAAGCCAATAAAAAGAATTATTCCAATCTTCAACATACTCTTCTCTATCTTTTCTTATTTCTGCCACAATGTGAGCAATCTGTTTATGGTCAACCAGGAGTCCTTTTGTCTGGTCATGGAACATGCAACATGACTGATTAATATACACGCAAACACCCCCCTGACTCTTCAAGATCATATCTAGGTCCGTCCTATTCTGGAGGACCACATCCTTAAGGGAGAGGACTTCATCTTGTAAGTGTTCCTCCAGATTTAATGTAATATTCTCCATCTGCTGTAAATATACCCTCACCCTCTGGATCCAGTTGTTTTAGGAACTGAAATATTGTGCA